CTTTTCGTACAGTATCAGGAGAAATTCCTTGTTGCTAGTTAAAAAAGGCTTTGCAATGCTTGCAGCAGAAAGTTAAGGAGTTGTTTAATTCGTAAAAGAATTTTTCTTCTCTCTGCGTTAGCTTCTTCGGTCTCGTCTTGGTTTACAGCAAGACTACCAGTGTCAAGATAGTTTTGAATAACTCTTTGCACACTAGAAAATGTTTTCCAATGGTTTCACCAATATAACGAAGAGTTTTATTCATCTCTCAATTTGATAATTAGTTGTCTCGTAACTAAAGGAATTCTTTATTGGTTGTCCATTTTCGTCAAAAACAATAGAAATACAACTTCCAATCAACGTGAAATTTGCTTCAGAAGTCAATGACCTCGAAAGTTGTAACCACTTTGCATGCTCAAGTTTGAAGTTTAAAAGTTAGATAAGAAATCCTCCGCCTTTGGCGTTGTACGCAACTTTATTGGCTTTGAATTCTGGCCACTTATCTTTTAAAAATTAGTGTGCATAAATTATCAGATATGAAAATATTACAGTCAAATAATTTCAAAGTCCCTTATTGAAACTAAATATTTAAAAAATAAAACTTTAAGAAACTACCCTTTTCGCACCTTAAAATTTGGATTTGATATTTCTTTTCTTGACGTACGCAGACTTTATTGACTACCTGTATATCGTACAGATATACGGTAAATGTATGACAAACTGTGTCTTAAGCAACAAGCACTTGTCGGGTCAATGTTGCTTCAGGCTAACGCCTAACCACATACAGCAGTGTCAACCAAACCAGTAATATAGGATACTAAATTTGCCTCATCCTTCTTACTCTACTCACATTTTCCCAACAGATGACTATTTTTCCCGGCAGTTGAAGCTCTTTTTGATCCAGGAAATGCCTTGCCAGCGAAGAACGAATTAAGCACACAGTGCAGAATTTCACTTCTGGACACATTTCCAGAAACAGTGCTTTTTACGAATATGATTGATGTAAATGACATTGCCACATGTTGGCAGCAATGCGAGATTACTTTGGTTAAATAGGTGTCCTTAATTTCTAAAATTAGAAGTGCCGGAGCTCTATGGAGGACAGTCAACAAAGAAGAATAAGAGTAAATAAATAAATAAAATGACAAATCATTAATATTTTTAAATAAATAGTTATTATTATCAAATTATAATAGGTTTTAATTGTGTTCATAATTGTTATTTAACAATAATTATTATAATTAATTTATAATTTAATTGATAATTATTTATTGAATAATTAAAGATTGAAGTAATTAATAATTAAAATTAAATAAATGTGAAGAGATAAATTGAAATTTTAAGCTATTTTTAATTATAATTTTATTATTAAAATAAAATTTTCGAGATAAAAAAATTTCTACTGAAATTGTTATTCAATTACATAAAAGAAGTGCCGCATCAGGGCTCCGTGCGTTCCGGCTAAATTATGATTTATTACAAAAACTAAGAAGCCCGTAGCGATATCCGGTAGACTCCGGCCAATTTAAGCTTGATCGTAGGGGGGGGAAGTTCTTTATCATCCAAAAATTAAATAGTTAAGTATAGCTGATGAAAATTCCAGGGCGAAACAGAATGAGGGTATGAGTGGGTGGAAACAAAAAATGAGGAGAATCTTGGTGAGAGAGAACGTTCTCTTTGACCGCGGCTCTCTGCTGATATAATTATAGCCACCAAGCACATGTGTGTCAGAGATAAATTGAGTCCTGAATCTGACTCCTAAGGATGAATATAAAGTTGCTGGTTACACGTTTCGCCCCCCCCCGTATTCGGTTACATTAGTGAATACTATGGAAAGACGATGTATAGGACGTGCTTAAGCAGTTTATCTCAGTATTTCACTCTTATTGTACTCGCTGTCAATTAACGCACATTTAAGAACACAAATTTTCCTCCCTGCGAGGATAACTAACTGTAAGCATCGATAACAATACATTAGATACGATGGCATGGCGAGAAATCCCTTCTTAAAGGAAAAGGAGAGGACTTTACTTGAAGTGAGTGAGAGGACTTTACTTGAACGTCTCATGTTCTCATGAGTTCGTATTTCTAGGGAAATAGAGTATTGCAAGCTCTGCTTATTGTTAAACTAAAACGTTAGGAATTCTAAATTTTTTCCTTTTAAATTGTAGTTCAGTTTTATAAAAAGAAGTTGCTCATCTTATTACCGGAGCTCAACTTATTAAGGGCTCCGGTGCGCTCCGGCTAGAATTGTAATTTATCTTGAAAATTGAGAAGTACCGGAGCCGGGCTCCGGTCCAATTTAAGCTCTGCTCTTATCGTTCCATCGTCTTTGCAATCGGCCATTTCATTCGCAACAATCCAGTAATATTAAGAAAAATGATTCTTTGCCTCCTTTTTTGCTCCTTATGTTTGTACAAATTTCCATTTCGGAGTTTTTGTGTGTTTACGCGTTGTCAAACAAGAATGTAAAACAACTGAAATGGCCGGACCTAACAGCCTAGTAATAAAAAGTATTTTTTGCTATAGATTTTGATTATCAGTATGATATAAATTTCAGATGAAATATTCTCGATTAATTTATAAGGTATTTCTCTCGCCTTCTTAGCATAACCTTCGTAGTGTAGCGGTAAGCACGCTCGGTGCGTATTCGAGAGGTCCGTGGTTCGAGTCCCGGCGAGGGCAATGCTCATTTTTCAAGGTTCCTGCTTCCAAATAACCCAATGTCTATAAAGTGGCGCCCGAACTAAAAGGGTGGTGGATGATGATTCTCCACCACCCAGGATTTGGCGATTGAGTCCCCTAATCCCCAGTCGCCTTTTAAAAAGGGGAGTATATAAATTATTTCTCCCGCCTTCTTAGCATGCCTTCGTAGTGTAGTGGTCAGCAGGCTCGTCGCGTATTCGAGAGGTCCGTGATTCGAGTCCCGATGAAGGCAATGCTCATTTTTCATGACTCCTGATACCCCCCCAAAAAAAAACAAAAAAAAAACTAATGTCTACAAATTTACCTCCTTCTCTAAAAACTGCTGAATTCACTAGCCCAAGAATGAGTAAAAAATTCTCAGAAGAGATTACATTCTAATAAAAATGATTTGATTATATTTTAAATATTTGAATTATGATATTTGTAAATAGAAAGTAACTATTGTTTCAACTGTTTCGGACTAGTAGTAATAGAAAGATGTTTTAGTCATTTTATGTAGGCAGACTGAGCTAATCTGGACATAAGAAGTTATAAAATTCTGTTTGAGGGCTATTAATTAAAATTAATTAAATGACAGAATGCAAATTCCTACTTTTTAATGGCTGTCTTTCTAAATGCAGCAGTTGTAACCCAGATGTATCCAAATCAGGCCAGATAACATACAGAGTCTCTGACTCATTCTGGTGGCATAAACTAGATTCAAACTCAACGGACGTAAGGCGAATTATTGCTGTGTCTTAATTTAAAGTCTTCGAAAAGTATTTGAAATAACCTTTTTATTACAAACAGCAATTTAACATAAACGTACTTTTCATGCTCGACAAGATAAGCCACACCTTGTGGCGTCGTACCTTAAAGTAGCATTCAAATTCAAATTTAGAACTTAATTTTGCAGCGAAAGACCACACAGTTTAATTTAAATCGGGTAGAGTAAACTTTAAGGTACCCCTTGTATTGTGGCGAAGTTGTTATTTGATTTATCGCCAAGTTGTTGTTTCATTTATGGCAGCCTGAGTAGTTGAATGTTATGGAAACCTTTTAAGACGTAATCGGGTGCACGATTCTGGGAAATTTTGAATCATGGGATGTTTTGTAAGCATTTTTGTGGGTGTGTGTTGGTTTGATTCTTTAGACGGTAGAATGGCCTAATGTAGTAAGATTAATTTGACGTTTCAGTACAATTTGGAGCGAAAGGGGAAAAGAGTTTTAATTGACTGGTGTGTGTAAATGAAGGTTTACTTAGTAGCCATTATAAGTGTCCTGTATTTAGGAAGGATATGCGTCTAGTCGAACGTAAAAACCGTTTAGATGGATTTGAATGGGTTTGTAGGAAGAAAGGTTCAGATGGTCACTATGTGAAACGTTCGATCAGAAAGAGTACCTGGTTTGAAAAATGTCATTTGAGTATGATTGATATTTTGATTTCTACGTGGCTATGGGAACTCAAAAATCATGGTCAGTGAATATTTGATTTTAGTAGTGCTTAAATATATAACATGTTTTTCCTTTTTTATGTTATTTTATTGTTGGATTCAAAATACAGTTTATTGAGATTATATATTTTTTGTTTGGCCCCCACTAGTGTAGAATTGGGTGCCCCTTTTGATTTTTAAAGTGAAAATAGATCGATGTGTACATGGACAATGTCAAGGCAGTGCGCAATGCAAGTTTGTGCATTCTGAGATTTTTTTTAAGTGAAATAGGTCGACGTGTACATGGATAAAGTTCAAAGGAGTGCGCAATGCCATTTTGTGCAATTCGGGATTTTTTTTAAGTGAAAATAAGTCGATGTGTACATGGATACCGAGTTTGTGCAATTGTTTGTCTGGTTATTTTGGCTTTGTGTAGCGGCAAAAATCGCCGCTTCGCAAGCCAAAATAACGAGTCAAAGAATTGCACAAAATCGGCATACTGTATACTGTGTACTGCCAAAAGTAACTATTGTTTAACTGTAACTAATCGGCATACTGTATACTGTGTACAGCATACTGTGTACTGCCAAAAATCGCCAAGTTTCGCCAAGGGGTACCCTAAACTATACTTTTACCTTTAAATCTAAGATGGCTCAGAACTTCTAGCCAGCATCGTAGTTTAAATAACGGCAGCTATAACGCAAAGTGGAATAATTGTAATCTTGACTTAGTCAAACTAAGTAACATGGCTTCGAGAGGCTGAAACGCGTTCTGTGCTACAATCCCCAAACATCACTACTGACCAACTGATTTACATTTCTGGTGAGGAAACGGAGAAGTTATAATAAAGATCTAAATCATAATAACTGGTTAATTATAATAATAATAACCCTATAAACATACCTGAGGTAGATTCATTGATGGCATCGAAATCCGCCGTCTTGGGACCGGGTTGTCCAGATTTTGCCGCAGCATCGTACGCTGCCAGCATTTTGCGTTTTCTTTCTATTGCTTCTTTCTGCCGCTGCTGAATTGCTTCTTCTACCAAATCTCGTTTAGGGGGTGGTTCCACCGGCGCAGGTGAGGCTGAAAATATAAAATGAAATATTTTCTCCCTTTTTGAAGCTACATTTACGAGATATGTATAAAAGTCTTGAGAAATTTACATAACGAGATCTGCATTGAAACAGAAGAAGCTGTTGCTATTTAAATGTACAAGAAATCATTTTTCGAGTTAAATGACGCTTAAATTATAAAAGTTTACGTATATTTTGAATAAACGAATATGTACGTTAAAATACGTAAACCTATCACGAAGGCAACCTTTAAAAGTAACCAGCATTTCTTTGGACATAAATAGACATCATTATCGAGCATTATCTTTCTAAGAAGACTACCTCCGCAGTATCCTCCGAAAGCATAGGGAGAGAGATTTTCAAGTTCCAAGTTACACTTATGTCGAGATTATCAAGCATTCTGCTTGATGTGTTCCGGCTGTCATCAGATGTTTGCTCTTTGGGCGCTGAGAAGAGGATAAGTTCGAAGTGCGGGTCCAGAAGGGCAGGAGCTAATGGCGAAGGGTAGTGACCAGTTGTCACGTGGGCTGCAAGCTGACTTATCCAGTGCATATGGCAGATTTTAAAGCTTTATGAAAATGAATACTAAATTCTCTTTTCAGTCAATGTATAAAATTTTTATAAAGTATTAAAAACCAGAATTTGTAACTTATTGAACTAATTAATATTGAAATTAATATATTAGTCCAGTAGTCAACAATCGAATAGCTAGGAATTTAGGTAGCTCAGAAAGAAAGCCCATGATTGTATTACTATAATTTATTCGTGGATTGCCCTTCGATATTGTGGATAAAGAAATGTTGGATGGACAAGAGTTTCGTCAATCACAAAAATCATCCAATTTTCAAGGCAAAAAGCTTTGTCAAGCTACTTCATACTTTTTTAAGATGTGCAAATGCTCGAAAAATAATTTATTAACTCAAGACTCTCTCTCCACTGACGATGAGGAACTGAAAATACAGATCAGAAAAAAGTCCCATGATGCGTTTTCACTGTGAACGCTTTGATCACCCCCAGATGGGTTGCCATAAAGACAGGCGTTGTCTCAGGTGCAAGACCCTCTGACCTATAATGCGAAGTAGAAGAAAAGCCTACATTCAGGTATAAAGCTAAGCATTTGCCTTCTTTCCAAAGCAGCCCTGTGTACAGAAAAATCAGAAGGAAAAATTCCATAACGAAATTTCACCTTGGCAAAATTGACTGATGAGTATCCTTATACGTATTCTTATACGTATCCTTATACGTATGCGCAGAACGAGAAGTGTAAGGATATTATAAAAAAGCTTTTTAGAGTTTCAAGACTCATCGCTGCCCTTCGTGATATCATTGACATTGAAAATAAATCCAAAAGGACAAAATCTTTCATAAAGAAGTTAAAACTTACACTGTTTCCGGTGAAAGTTATTTAGAAAGCTGAATTGAATAATTATTTCCAATATTTTTAAATGCTAGAAGACGATTCGTGACCGGACTTTTCATACTCTGAGAGCCGATACTTTATCCCTTCACTAATATTTTGCCTACTTCAGACAGCAATACCACTACATCATATGTTCCCCCCCCCTGGAGAAAGTTAACTTTGGATATTTCAAATGTCAGGCAGTAAATGGAATTCATTTAGGTTTTCCTAGAAAGAGCTGCATCTTTTACTGGAGTATCAGAGCAAAATTGCAGTGTCGAGATATCTGGAACATTTTCGAAAACTTGCTGACAGGGCTTCGAAACTGCGTTTTCTAAGAACTTCTAGAATTTCACCAAGTTGGCATAAATTGTCCTTAGCGAAAACAATTATCGTCAAGGTTCTTTATGAGATTTTTTATTCATATCTCAGGATTCAATTGAGCTAGCTTCATAATTCAAACGATGATTCAGAATTACAAGATCTGCAACATAATGCACGGAACAAAAATTTACAGACACAATAAATAGCCCCAAATTCGATTAAAAATATACACAACAAAAATATTTCATAAGATGCAGCAAACAAATAAAACAAATAACTAACTACAACCAATGCATACTGTGTTTCCTCGAAAACAAGACCTGATCACAAAATAAGACATAACATGATATTTTAGGGTACTTCTAACATAAGCCCTTCTCCTAATCAAGATCCCTTCCCCTACTCAAGATCATCACCCAGACGGAGCCTTATAGCTGAATGAACCAAGTGCAGACTCAACACACATGCACATTTGAAACAAAAGAATGTGGTTGGACAAATTAGAATCTTCAGTCCTCAGTACGGTGGGTTAGCATCGGATATTTAGCACTTGATTTAATAACAAATTTTGATGCTCGGATAAAATTAGTGCAAAACGATAGAGGTATTACGTCGAGTGGAAGAAAAAAATATGGAAGACTCCAAGGATAAAAGTCTTACAGCTTTCTGCGAAGAGAAGAAGTTGGATCTACGAATGGTCCGAAAATGGAGATCTGAGTACAATAACTTCAGTCAATAGGTCTATGAAGGAAATGCCAAGAAGTGTAGATCAAATTGGCAACCATTATTTCCTGAATTAGAGCATATCTTCTGTGAATGGAATTGCTGACAGAAGGGCGAAGTGTTTGGTTGTTCGCGGGGCTGACATTCAAGCTTTTGCTCTTGCAGTGGCACCACAGCTCGACATCGTCAGACGAAGACAAAGCATCAAGAAGACTCTGGTGGATGGCTTTCTTCATGGATATGAACTGTTTCTGAGAAAATCGATAATACTGTTGAAACTGGAAAATACTGAAGAGATTAAACGTGAACATGCATTAAAGTGTTTCGTTGATGGCATCGGTGTCTCTAAGTACCAATTCTCGAACATGATTGCTATGGATGAAACTGTAGTGTTTATGTGTCAAAGGTTTCCGAGTACCATTGATCAGGAGGGGTGCCTCATAGATATACATTCCCTCTACTGTTTACGAAAGTGCACGCATTACATGTACTTCGGTAATTCGTGTCGATGGAAAAAGCCTTCCTCCGAATCATCTGTAAAAGAAAGAGGAAACTGAACGTGTTTCAAGTATTTATGTTCTTAAGATTGAAAAAGCTTGGTGCACACAAGCAGGAATAAGAAAATGAGTTGATTTATTTTAAACACTTGTTTTGCGACGTGGCCAAAGAGGTATTGCTTTCTGCCAGCACTTATGCGCTAAAACCACGAAGAACTCCCTTGCAAAAAAGAAGAATTTATCAAATAATGATTCCCGCAGGAATTACTACATGTCTCCAAACTCTTAACATTGCAATAAACAAGCCATTTGAAGACCCTCTGCGCACGTGCTCAGCATGAGAGGGTAGGGCCGATGGTCATTGAAAAAATGAGGGAAAAAACATGAATGGCTGAATTAGAATGAATGATTCTGTTTATTTTTGAATATTTCCACGTAAATAAATGTGTTTCTTGAACATGAACAAATATTAGTTGCTGTGCATAAAAATAAGGCACCCCCTGAAAATAAGCTCCAACGTGTCTTTGGCATCAAAAATTAATAAACGACCAGACCTTGTTTTCGGGGAAACACGGTAGTCTTTCTTAGAACCATTTTCAATTAAGAAAGTAACTCACTTTCTGCATTTTTGTAGATGTTAATATCCATAACCTTTGGAGCTCCAGCGGGTGCCGATTTGGCCATTTGGTCGTACATGGCAAGCATTCTACGCTTCTGCTCCTCAGCATCTCTCTTCCGTTGAAGGATCATCTCCTCCCGTTCCTGTTCCCGCTTTCGCATTGCTTCTTCACGCTGAGCTGAAATGGACAAAGATTAACGTCAGTAAATGTGATATTTATAAGGACAGAATGAACTTTTGACGTTAAAGAAAATGAAAAAGTCTGTTCGGTGATTTTTGTAATCAAAGTTTAACGATGGCTGAGGTACAGATGTCGTACTTATGTTTTATAACTAAGAAAAATCCAACCTTAGGATTGATGTTGATTAAGGACATCAATCTAAGATTGGATTTTGTAGGACAAATTCCATATAAAATCCATAATTGAAGAAAAAAACACTCTTATTTCCTAGCTTTTAATATAAAATCTTTGTCGAACTATAAAATGCTTGACATGTTTCTGACTTTACTCCTTCGTATAACTCGTGTTTTGGAATAGTGTTTCTTCGCAGAACTCGTGTTTTAGTACACTGTTTCAGTCAATATTACGATTTCCTATATATTAAAATAAAAACCTTTCAAGTGAAACTTCACTTTGTCAGGACTTGTGTTGCTCTTTATTTGCGCTGGAAACACGAATGATCCTGAATAGGAACAGGGAGCTTTACTCAAGCTATGTTCAAGAAGGTGTGAAGTAGACAATACAAGCAGGAAGGGTATACAAAACCCTTTATTTTCAATACTTTACAGGTATTTCCGAACTTCGGAACACCAACCACTTGTGGTCGGAACGTAAGAATATAAAAACTACTAACTAAAACTCTAACTAAAAGTTAACTTTGAATTAATATACAAATGCCTAGCACTAAGACTGGCCTTTATTTAAAAAAAAGATACGTATGTAGTACGCCGAGCTGCTAAAACTACGATACGTCTGCAAATATCAAGAGGGCTAAACCTCTGGCCTTAAAAGCAACTAGTAACCGAGTGAAAACTCGTAAAACTACAGTGGCAAGCAGCTTGCTTCCTAAAACTCCTTCTCTCTCTTGGCAAAAATCCACAACTTAAGTACTTGGGCGTTAGCAAATTTGCATAAACAAGTTAGCATTTAATTCTGAAAGGAAGTAGAAAATAAGAAGTGATAGTACAGTTTTAAAATAAAATAAACGTTAGTAAAACTTAGGATCCTTACAACTTTAGGGAAGAGAAAGTTGTCTACAAATGCTAAATCTAATGAATAAAGGGTTGGTTGAGAAATGGGACACTTTTCTTCGTAAGGCACTACTTGAGGAGAAACTGTCGTGCAACAGAAATCAATTATTTCATGGGGCATTTTGGTTACAGGCAAGAACGTCGCGTAAAAAACTACGCAAGGCGAAAACACTATTATGCAAAATAACGTGGAAGGAAAATAAGCAAGCAGAAAACATCGCGATTCTAAAACATCGTCATCGAAAATAAAGCGGTTCAAAAACAATGCAGTTTTAAAGCATCTTCGAGGTAAATATCATGATAACAAACAGAGCATCTACAAATCATCGCACGACGATAACACTGCAGACATATGTTTTTCAGACTTTGTAAATATAAGTATAAATGTAATGTTGTAAATATATATTCGCATAATGATTTGAGAACATAAAAAGGAATGAGGACTATCTGTATTTCATATTTTTGAACGTTTATTAACATATGATGAACCACTCCGTAACAATCACCTACCCGAGACAAAATTTTTTAAAATAGCCATGCAATAAACGTTTTAAAACAGTGATACTGAATCTCATCTCTCTGAGGTGACCATTTTCCTAATTTTCTCATTCAGGTACTTTTTCTGCTACGTTACTTAAGAAAATTTTATTTAAATTTTGGAATATTTTTATTTGTAGCGACATCCTCTTTTAATTATCGACATATATATGAACACCTGTAAAGAGCGATATTAAACGTTACATCTCTAAGACGACCACATCTACAGATGACCCAAATCATCTGACGTGTGGATGATATCTTAGAGATAGTTCGCTGTACTTTAATTACATCTCTTACGTGTATTAATAAGTTGTGTGATAACGGTCGCGGACACTTAGCCGACGAGACACTTAACCGACACCAGTTAGCCGACAGGACATTTAGCCGACAAGGACACTTAGCCGACAGGACATTTAGTCGACAAGGGCACTTAGCCGACAGGACATTTAGTCGAAAAGGACATTTAGCCAACAGGACATTTTGCTGACACGGGCAGCTAGCCGACAGGACATTAATCCGACGAATCTCGCTCTTCCCAATGCTTTCAGAGTTCTAATATTTTCACATTTCATTACTTTACTCAACACATTATGCTACATTCTTTCCCATATAAAGTAGTTTCGCTCCTCCCACTATTGAAATTTCCTTTCCTTGTCAGGAAGTAGAGCGATTCGCCCTACGCCACACTGGAACCACTTTTTTTTTTCTGAAATACTATTTACACCCTCAGAATGCTATTTAGATGTTAGGTATTGTATAACTATTTACACCTTCAGAATGCTATTTAGATGTTAGGTATTGTATATTTATTAATCTGGGATAGGGCTCGAGCCCAGGTTAGGTTAGGTTATTTAATTACGGCAAAGCCTCGAGGGCTATCTACGTGAGGTGAGGGAAGGCTTCGTGGAGGACTTTCTAATGGAAACTGGCTCATATGCACGTTACACATGGGGAAAACCACGAAAATACCCATGCAGCCAGCCCGATTGTGGGATTCGAACCTCGGACCGAACTACCAGTGTTCAGCGACTTTACCGCTCGGCCGCTGGTGGGCTACTCGACCCCAGGATTTCGTGCCTCGTGGCCTGCGGCCACCTAACAGAAGTAGGTTGGCAAAACCAGAGGGCTATCTGTCTAAAGGGATGGATACCTTCGTCGACCTTCTAAGGAAAAACTGGTTCGTATACACGTTACACATGGGGAAGACCACGAGAACACCCATGCAGCCAGTCCGTTCGCGGGATTCGGACCGAACTACCAGTACTCAGCGACTTTACCGCCGGGCCTAGCAGAAATAGAGTCACCGTTTGACTTAATATATAGCTATTCTCTTCCAATGAAAATTGCTTTTTTAGGCTAGACCTTTATAAATGCGTTGATAGAAAATGAGAAGAATGTTCCAAATCTGAATACCGAAGAAAAATTCACTATTATTCTTGAACAATGCTTTTAAAGGAAATATTGGTGAAAGTGTTCAAAGGAACCTAGTTGATAAAATGAACAATTTTTGCAGTAAATGTAACTGAGTGACCGTCGTACTTAGCTGAAAAAATTCTTTTTTGCTTTCGAAAATTAATTCATATCCCCTGAAGAAAAATTTCAGTGCTTTTTCAATTTGGCCAATATTCTCCAAACAGCATGATATATATCAGACTATGCTAAATTACACAAGAATTAAAAGCACATATAGGATCTTTAAGAATCGAAAAATGAATTTTACTGATAGATGAAAAAAAAAATGTCTTAAATATTGAACTTACGGAGAAGTAGAAAAATTTTGTAATTGATAGTAAGATTAAATAATTATTGGGTAGGTGTCAGGGAGACGTCAATGGCGGCTTAATGTTCTGTTGACTAAATGTCTTGACAGTTAAATGTCCCTTAACTAAATGTCCTGAGGGCTAACTGTGTCGGCTGAATGTTCTGTCGGCTAAGCGTCGCCGCCGGCTAACTGTCCGTGTCGGCTAAATGTCCTGTCGGCTAAGTGTTCTTGTCGGCTAAGTGTTCGTATCGGCTAAATGTCCTGTCGGCTAAGGAGTCACTCTTTTTTTTTTACCATGAGACCATTTCGTGGCCAGGACGGTCTGAGTGTACCCCCAATGTATTACAACTGGTGTAGGTTAAGTATATCGTCGGCTAAGTGGTTGTCGCCCAAATGTCATGGACCCTTGTGATAAATACATGAAATCACAAAATACTGGTAGCGTTCATGCTTAACGTCCGAAATGACTTGCATATGATATTTCTTTTGTAAAAAATTAATATAAGCTAGTTTGTTTCCCTCCGCCAAGGCATCCCATGCTGGATAGGTAATACTCGGGTGTTTAGTAATTACGAATAAATACATTTCCTACGAAATATTTTACTGTAAAAATATTGCAATCATGCACCTTTGCAAGACTGATACGAAGTTATGCCAATACAAGTTGGTCGAAGTTGTACATTGACTACCAATAAGTATTTGGACACCTGTGATAGAAAAGAAAAACTAACTTTATTCAAAATCAATAGTTGGTAGAGCCTCCACGAGAGGTAATTACAGCGTGGACCCTCCGGGGCATACTTTCCACAAGTCTTTGTATGACAGCTAGTGGTATTTTCTTCCACTCGGCTTGAAGAAGACATAAATTCCTTCATCGATTTTGCACGGGTAGTGCACTCCTGAATTCGGCGATGCAACTCGTCCCAGACGTTCTCGATAGGGTTCAGGTCTGGACTCTGGGCAGGCCAGTCCATTCGATGAACTCCATTGGCACCAAACCAAGCCTTGGTTAACGTCGAAACATGACAACTGGCATTGTCGTCCTGAAAGTAACAGGGGTCCAACCCGTAAAAAACTGCCACAACGTAGTAGGAAGCACATTGTCATCCAAAATAGTGCAGTAGGCATCGGAGTTGAGCTTACCATGAATGGGGACCAAGAGTCCCAGCCCATACCAGGAGAAACACCCCAGACCATAATTCCACCTCCGCCGAAACTTGACTGTTGGCACAATGCATTCTGGCAGGAGACGTTCTCCAGGTAGACGCAGACCCAGACCCTGCCATCTGAACGGTAAAGGGCGAATCTTGATTCGGCACTCCAAAGAACCCGTTTAAACTGATCTACGGTTCAATTTCGATGTGCTTTGTACCACATTAACCGAGCAACGCGGTTGGACTTTGTGATCAAAGGCTTATGGGCAGCAGCACGACCATGAAAACCAAGCAGATGTGCTTCCTTACGGATGGTATTCATTGAAACAATACTCCCGGATGCCCGTTGAAACTCCTCGCGGATGAGAGTCATCGGTTGGGTGCGGTTCTTCCGAATTTCTCCGGACAGCACTCGTCGGTCTCTATCTCCCAGTTTCGTTGGTCTGCCGACTCGGGGCACATTCCGACAAT